GAATGAGGAAAGCATCTGAAAAGACTGAGGAAAAGTTGGTTGTGCTAGTTTTAAAATTGTTACAATGTTAGGCAGAATGCATGCAGCTGTGGTAAAGGTTCATAGTGCTGTTTGTCTCTGTCTGTTCTATTGCTATAATCAGAAAAGAGCCACTAGAGTGTATTTTATGCCAAAATGAAATAATTTAGTTGTAAAAACTACAAGGATTATCTTGAGAATAAGTTGGGTGATCTGAATAATTTAATAATAGGTTATAAAATGATGAAAGAAAGAGTGGTACTTAATACATGTCTGTGCTATTACAGGTTTAAAAAAAAAAAAATCCAAACCCTCTTCTGTTACAGGAATATGAGGCTTTGACCAAAAAACCAGCTTGCAATCCTGATGTTTGGGTGAACCTTGCCTGTACCTACTTTTTCCTGGGGATGTATACACAAGCTGAACAAGCAGCTTTGAAAGGTGAGATGCATGTCTTGGATTGATGTAAAGGATAATTTGTTGATTTGAACACTTAAGGGATTTCCAGAGAAAGGACTTGATGCTTTGGAGAAGAATGAAGTATACTTTTGATCAAAGGATTGTTTTCATTTAACAGGAGAGCTGTGATGTTGTTTGCCTTCTGAAAAAAAATTGTGGGCAGGTGGAGCAGTTGGAACTGAAAGAAACATCTGGAAAATAATTTTTCTTACTAATTTCTAAATATAAAACCCAGCATATGCTGACCAGCAGCAAAAAGTCACTGTTCTTTTGACTGATTCCCTGTCTCTGAGCCAGTGCAGATGATGGTGATTAGGATAGGGAAATTATCAGAAAATAAGCATAATGAAGGAGTTCAGCATTCTCTCTGATGTGGATAGGAACTCTATTTACGTAGTCTGGGTGACTTAGTAGGTGGTCTTGTTGCCTTGCAAGTCGGATATTAGGCATCTGATTCTTCAAGGCATGGAGTTCACTGCAGTCACATCATTCTTACATTTCCACTTTAATGTGAACATGCATGGGAACATTTAAAAGAAGAGGAATGGCAATTAGATTCCAAGGCAGTTTTTATTGCCTAAAAGTGTTTCTGCTGTTTAATTTTGTTACCCATCACTTTTGTTTATCTTAGTGATTTATACTGTTTCCCATCACCATAATATCTTGGTGCTTTCTAAGTTAAATTAATAATAGCGAAGTTCTCAGTCAACTTCTGACTCTTGCCTTTTTAGGATAAAACTCTTCTTGAAGTGTGGATTTCCTCTTTTTTTTTCCCTGTTTCTTTAGTTTTGTACTTGTCTTGGGCTGAACACAGGGTAGGGAGTAAAGAATTGTGTACTTTTCTGCTACTGTGGAGGAGCTTCTTCAAAGAGGATGGTTTTGTAGTATTTTTCAGACATCATTAGAGCTTGACATCCCTTTAAAATCCTCTGAAAGTTCATTCTGCGCTTGATTCCCCCAACTGAAAATGTTTTGTTTCCAACTGTCAAAAGTGGAGCTTTGTGGTCCAACTTGTTCAAGAGGTGTGTCAATTTCTAATATTCACAGATGTTAATTTAATCTTTAGAGCCGCACAAGTTTGAGCTTGGAGATTGCTATCTAGGACTTGAACTGGAATCTAAAAATAATTGGCAATAGAAACTGAGGTGTCACCGTGACCTAAGCCATGGAGGAAGCGAGCAGCTGCATCCTGTAGCAATTGGAGCCTGCTTATTGGCATCAGCTTCAGATAGCGTGAATTACAGTAATCCGTTCTAGAGATGGCAGATACACAGTTGAATATGCATCTTTATAAACTGCGAACTGAAAATGAGAGAAGGTTAATTTTCTCTGCCCTCTCAGATCAGTTCATAGTAGCATGGCAAGTCACGGGGTAGGGGTGAGATTAGTGGTACTCGGGCACCGGGGAAAAGGGAAGGAATATTAGAAAAACAGTGCAGGACATGGGGAGTGTAGCCAGGGAAGGGAGCAGAGAGTAGCTGAGCACTCAAACTGGTGGTGTCCTGATTTTTCTTAAGTGTTTAAGTAGGACAGCATGCCAGTCTTTACAGTGAGGTGTTAAACCTTTTGACAATACTCTTGTGAGTGCTGTAAATACTGATAATTCCTGGTTACTTAATGGTGACAAGGCAGGCACAACTGAGGCTTTGCAACACTTTGAAGCCTTCAGTGGAGAACTGGAGAACGGACAAGTGTTACATATTCCCCCTTCCCCTCACATCACTTCAGTCTTGTCTAAAGTGAGGTTGAACCATATTATTTTTAGTCAAGAGATACCCTCTTGCAGGTTTTTTAACATCTTAGGATTGCATCAGTGATGACTATTCTTAATGTATTATTAACAGCTGAGGCCATGGCATCTTATAATCTCTTTTATGGCATTGCAAAGACACTGATGAGGTAAAATATTTCTTTGGATAGTAGACCCAATAGGTGAACTCTCCAGAAGAACACCATTTATCAAGTACTACCTTAAAAACTGCTGAAAAAAGTGATAGATGTTGTTAGTGTTGGGCTGCTTGTGATTGCTATTTTAGAGTTATTTTGCCTGAACTCTTACATACTCTTTGCTGTTTATTGATTATTGTTGCAGCTGTCAGATTAAGTCCCTGAAAGTAGCATAGTGCTAACACAAATGAGGGAGAAGTAATTTGTTTTCACCTATAATTCTAAATTTGTCATGTGCGGGAGTCTCTGTATGAAAAGGAACATAAATGTCAGCTAACTTTCTGGAATAGCTTTTCCATACAAAAATTTAAATATCCATAAATCAAATAAAAGTTCTTTCTTGCCATATACTATTGCTGTTGTTTAAGAACTTTTTTTTTTTTTTTTACTTTTTGAGGAAAAATATGCAGGATGTTTAAAAATTAGGAAATAAGAGTTAAAAGCCATGAGGTAACTACTACATTTCATGCAAGATCTGTATTTTGCTTTCTCTTCTGGAACAAGGTTTTATCTTTATTTTATAATAGATGTGAAGTGTTCTCCTAGCTTGTCATTACTTAATTAAAACTTAACAGTCTATCCTCTCAGGAAAGAATAAATCGGTAGACCAGAAGTTATATAAACCAGAATTATTGCAAATATAACCAAAGTAGTCGAACGAAAAGGTGATAAAGGCAAATCTTTCTTTGGAGGTTGGTCATTACACTTGTGCTTTATTTCCCCTAGGCTTTCTTCCAAATCCTTTCAGGCTTTTCTGACTTCTCTTTTTTCCCTGCTGTCCCCTTATATTGTAGTTACTAATGTTCCTGGATCTGAGGTGAAGGTAGAGTTACTTTCAAGTCAGCCACTGTTGTTTCATAGTCTTCCCGCAGCAAAGCTGCCAAATGATATTTTATTCTGTTTGCATCTGTGCTCTAATACATGAACTGAACATACAGCCCATCTAGCCTTGGGAAAATGAGACTGAGAGTCTTAATTGTATTTTAATAAAGAATAAATTAAATCTTAAAAAAATATATAAAAACAAATAGTCTTATGTTGCATTCCCAGTTTCTGTGCCTTAAAGAAGCAAAGGGCAAGGACCAGAAACTCCATCTGGCACGTTTGTATGGAGATCCTGGCAACTAATCCTAGTGTTTAAAACCTAGTGTTCTCAGAAGCCATTGGCTAACACTGCATGAAGAGGAAAACAAGAACTGACAGTGTCTTTTAAACCACGAAGTATATGCCAGGATATGTGATTTGCACGTAAGTGGGGCTGCAGTTAAATCTGTTTTGAAAAACATTTTTTCGGGATAAATGTGGAATCTTACAATTAAACTTAAGATTCATGCACCAACAGGACTGTGCTGAACCAGTCAAGAAAGATTTTTTTTTTTTTATAATTACTCTTCTTTTTCACAACACAGTGTGTGTCAGCTCAGAATGTGGTTTAACTGAAGAGAGAGATTTCTCATTTAACAGTCTACGCTGGAAGGAGTGATATTGCACAAAAGCAGAACATAGAAGGATTAGTAAGAACAATGGCATTTTCCTAACCAGTTTCGCTTATGCATGCACTAATGTTTGCCAGGTGTCAAATATTTGTCAGCAGTGAAAGTTATGAAAGGGCATGGAAGAGTTGCTGTTTTTTTTTTCTTTAAACTGCATGTTCACCTATATGCAAAAGTATCTGCTTGCTACTTGCATTGTAATTCTTGAGAGCACTAGTTCATTCTCCTGCACTTTAGCTGCTTTTGAAACAGCAGTGTTTGATATATGGAACTTTAAAAGTACACAAGTGAAAATATCAATTTATACATATTTAAACTTCAAAACCTACTAGCCTTATTTCTTGTTTTGCTTTTTGAGGCCTAGTGGAAGCTACAAAACAGGAATAATTGACAGTTTTTGTTTCACTCATCAAGTTACTCTGCTTAGGCATGACTGAAATGAAATGTGTATATATTCCAAGTAACTGAAAATAGTTGAACTGACTTCTAATTTTGAGAGAAAACAAAAATATTTTAAGAGAGGGAAAATTTCAGTTAATTTCCTAAGTAAATTTCATATGAGAAAATTTTGAACACTCTGCAAGTGTGAACCTCACTGTTGGACCATGATTTTTCTTCCGACATTTTTACCATGCCCTGCATTTTCCCTCCCCCGGTGAGGCTGTGGTTCTGGTATTTGGGTGAGCAGGACGTTGTGGCTTGGGGGCAGGGGAATAGGGTTTCCTCTGCTAGTACTTGCTGTGGTATCTGGCAGGAGCCGTCTTAGCACCGTGTCGCTCCCACCAGCTCCTACCTAGCATGTGAAGCGCTGCTGTAGAGTGTCCATATGCCTTATGTTTGCTAGATGGGATTTGTTAGTGCTGAACACATGACCTGCGTTGCCTTATACGCTTATGAGAGGACATAAAAGCCAGAGTGTCTGGGACCCTAATTTCATCATCTTCTTACCGCCTGCGGCAGCAATATGGAACCCCCCCAAGCGTATGAGCTGTCGTTTCTTTAACTTAAATTTTTTGTTTAAAAGCTAGTGCAAATAACTCTCTTCATTTTTTTTATTGTAGCTCTTTATTATATTTTAACAAATACTTTTTTGAGTAGCTATCCGTTTAGAGTCAGCACATAGAAATACACAGGAAACACTTTTAAGATTACTGTCAACTGTAATCACTTTAGTGTCTGGAACATCAGCACTGGTCATGACAACAGGAATGTTAGTGTGTTTCCTAGCCAGAGATATATATACCCTGTCCAGCTGCCTCAGAGGTGTGTTCAGCGCAAGGCCAATACTAATCACTGGAGCAGGGCCCAACTTACTGCAGTGCCACATTGTCCTTATGTTTGTTATGATCCCTAGATTGCTTAATGTTGATCTTAAAAAGGGAAAAAAAAAAAAAAAGAAGATTGTGCTTCCTTGTGGCATCAGTAGTTAGATCAGTGATAATGAAATTTGTTAGCAGCAGAGTGATAAAAGAACAATCCTGGTGTCCTTCAAAAAAATCATTCTCTGATGATGAGGCAATTGTATGACTTCCTTCTCCAGTGAGTGACGGCAGTTTTATCCAATATTCACAACCAAATTTGTCTTGGAAGTTAATCTGATTTAGTTCACATATTTCCTTGTCTTCCTCCAAAAAATGTATTTGGTACTGGAAGAAAAGAAACTGATGATACTGAATGTTGCCAGGCTTCTCCTTTATTGTATCCACAGGACTACATTTTTTGGTTATTGCCCCCTCCTTCCCTGGCTGGCATTAAGTAAAAGTGTCTCTTTTTTTAAAGAATATCAACACGGGTTGTATAATGTAATCTGTTATGAAGCAGGAGGTTTTTTCCTTCTCCATATATCCAATGCTTACTCCATCAGAACTCACATTTCATCTTTTGCCTGTTTTTAAGTATAAGATAACATAGACTCTCTGGCTTTTGCCAAGAAGTAAAGTAATAATTTAGATGTTGGATCAGATGCCAGGTTTGAGAGGGCAGTGCTGCAGTTATTGGTTGACCAGTGAAACAATAAATTGTCATTTTAGATTCTTAAGGGAGCATTCCTTGCACATCACTTACAGTGAAATTCATGCTAAAACCTACATGGGTGTATTTGCTCGTCGCTCTGCGGTTCTACATATGTTATTTGTAGGGTAAATCCTACAAGCTGTTCTGTTTGTATTTTTGGAGTCTTTGATGACCAATTGTTTTGAACTGTGAAGGGTGCTTGTGCTTGTGCTCAGTTTGTTTTGCGCAAAAGCACATGTGGGGTCTATGTGCAACCCTTTTAAAATTTAATAGTAAAACCTATCAGTTAATGCTGAGGCACACGTGGAATTACCATGGTATCGTTGCTGACACCATTTTTAAGAACTTGCATTTAAATTAATGTACTCTGTAACTTTTAAACTCAATGGATGAAATCATTTATGGACTGTATTATCTTGTTTATTGTAATACTACTGGTCCTTATCGAACAGAGATTCTAGATCAGAAAACATTTCCATTATTTAATAATTAGGCTAATGAGAATTCCCAGAAACGTTCTGCATTGGAGACTGTTCAGCTTGATCCTCAGTGAGTAATATTTCACAAGGTGTTTTGGTTCTGTGAGAACTCTCTCCTACTGCCTTTTTCTTCTGGGGCTCCCCTGTTCCTGGCAGTTCTTTACAGATGTGATTCACTGTGCCCTTGTTCTGGAGAAGTTGGTGAGGAGGGACATGTTTAAATAACACAGCTTAGGAAGGGGGAGAGGAAGAAGCAATTGCTGTGTCTAGCAGAAGTAGATAGATAGCTTTACACTGCCAACCTGACAAGAGCGGCCTGCTTTTTGGCATTGTTCACTGAGTTCCAAAGTTCCCTCGTTAGATGGAGAAAGAGTAAGAAGTCTGGAAATCTCTCCCAAAATTGCTTTTTCCAAAAATGTAAATTATTACTAGAAAATTCCATCTTTGGCTGGAGGGGAAGAGGTTTTGGTGGCTTCAGCCCTCTTTCATGGTTTAGGATGTCAGAATTACAGCCTTGTGCTACATGCCGTTTCTTTGCTAACTCTGCACTTTTGTGGCCTCACAAACACAGTAACTAATTCTGCTTTTTGCAGCAATTCCATATAAATCCTTTCCGTGGTACATAGGTTGCCAGCTGGTTGGTCTGAGCAAGAATGAGAGTGCTCATTATCTGAGCAGGCTAAAGAAAACACAGGAAACAAGGGGAGGCTTTTTGGAAGACTGCTCGCAAAAGAAATTAATAGCTCTGTCAGGGATCTTTGTCAGTCTCGGTGAAGCCTCTTTGGTGACTTAAAAGCCCCACAGTTAACAGTTTGTGTCCTAAGGAGCGTGTTAAATGGAATTCCTCCTCTTGCTACAGCAAGATATTTAGTGAACTTTAGTGGCTCTGGTGAGAAGATATGTCCCTTAAACCTCCCTCTGTTTGTTAGTTTGAACCTTACCTGCTCTGAGCGCAGGACTCTTCTACGTGTCTTTCGTTCCTAAGGACAGAAGAAATATTAGAATTAAGTATGTTATACCGTGCGTGAGTAACAAAACAGTAGCAGCAACGGATTTTGCAGTACACGGAAAGTTGACACGATTCCTAGAATTATGAATCATGTAATTTACTTCAAATATTACAAATCATAGAAGGAGCCTTCATTATGGGTTTGTTGCTGCTTTTTATTTTTTAAGAGATGCTCTGCTGTGTGTGATTTGTGCAAAGCCATGGAATTATCCAGAAGGCTCTGCAGAGAAATAATAGTACAGTTCACTGAAGTTTTAAAGCTCATAGAAGGATCATGGAAGGAAAGGACGATGATAAATTATGTGCTACAGAAGTTTCAAAAGGAATAACAGAGAATGAAGATGGGAAGCAGGAAGGCTTTTCAACCGCTATAAAATTGGCAGAACCTGCCCCAGGGCATGACCTGCATAGGCTGTTGCAGTGAAGAAGTGTACTTGGGCTAGTTAATGAGAGAACACGTGTATGTATGTGTGTCTGTCAGGGAAGGGAGCTGAAACTGAATTGTTCTTTGTATCGATATTTGCTGAATTTTTCTTTCAGCGCCTAAGAGTCGTCTCCAGAACCGTTTACTCTTTCACCTGGCACATAAGGTATGATGTTTCTTCATTGCTCACGCTTTTGTTTTATTTTCTTTTCAATTTAGTAACGTGTAATTTATGCTGGCAACCTGGCAAAACAATTAAAATGTCTGTAGTGGCAGGAGAACAAACGTTTTCTACAACCGCCCTGCTATATTAAAATGTGGAGGAGAAAGTGTGGAAACAGGATCTCAGAATAGATGCCCTCAGCATGTATCTAAAGCAAGTCCTACCAACTCATTTTACATAAGTCATATAGCAGGAGCCTGACAGTATTTTTAATCACAAGGAACCTGGGACCTGAATAGAATCAGAAATGTAAACACCGCTATTTTCACTTTTCTTCGAAGTGTACCAAGTTTTTCCTAACTCAAAGCTGTCTTATACTTAGCAGTTTGAGCCAAAAAAAAAAAGTTATTACTGACCTAAGTCTTTCAGTATCCAAAATATAATATTGTTTATAGCATGAGATTTACTTTAATTTCAACGGCAATTAAAAGACCGTTTCAATATTGCACATAGCTGTCTTCTCTTTAATTTGGTTTTGTACCATCCTGAAGTATACCTGACAAGTATTGTGCTCCTGAAGAGACTGTGTGTTGGGTGAAAGGAAGTATAAATCCCAAATGTTTGCTTTGATGTCGTGTTCTGTTTGCTTAAATTGCTGTAAGCTTAAGAGAACAATGTTAGAACATTTTTGTAGTGGCACTATCACTTAGAGGTGTCTGTGATACAGAGAAGTTGAATGGTCCCTAGTTCATGTAGTTAGTCTTTGGAAATAAAAGATTTTATGAAAATACAAAGCTCCTTGCATTGAGTTCTGTTTAGCAACTTCTCTTGCCTTTGTATTGGAGTATCGTTGTGCGACTAGCTCAAAGAAGGAGGAAAAGAATTTGAAGAAAAAATTTGCAGGTAGGTAATTTAGATAAAGAACAAGCGTGTAAGAGAGAATTTGTATGTAAGAGAAATTAATGATTACTGTTGCTGACATCAGCAGAAAGAGCAAAGAGAAGCACAGGAATAAGTGATTTGAGTAAACTGATTAGGTGAATAGCCTCAACTTTACTGCTGTAACACAAATGTAAAATGATTGTTTAACTCTGTTGCCTGCTTTTATCCTTGTTTGTTATGCACTATGCTGTGCTTTTAAAAATAAACCTCTTAATTAAAGAAACTAGGATTTTAAAGGGCTGATGAAAGAGCATTTGTTGGTGCTCTAAAGAAGTTTGATGAGAATGAGTTTGTTGTCTTGGCAAGACTTGCGTTTTTCTGCTATCCCTGAGAAATAAGATTTGGATCTACAAACAGCAACATTTCTGTTGGCCCCAATAATAACATTCAAATCTTGTCTTGCAAGATTCTGTATGTGGAATATTTAATTCAGCTCTTCCTCTCTTATCCATCAAGGCATGTGACATGTAATTATGTCTAGATCCAACCTTAAAGAAAAGTGTAGACTTAGCTTTAGCCTCAGATTTATCCAGTTTCAACTGGTCTACTTCTTTTATGCTTGGCTTTCTCCATTGGTCAGATTAACTTTAAAGTAACAAGAGTTTTTCCAGATGTTCAATATGAATCACCTGCTGCTTGCCAGCGAGGACAAAACTAACCCAGCTAATTAACTTGAAATGTTTTTCTCACTGAACTCTCCTGCAAATGTATTGTCCTTTCTTTTTTAGTTCAGTGATGAGAAGAAACTGATGAGCTTTCACCAGAATCTGCAAGACATTACAGAAGATCAGCTTAGCTTGGCATCTATTCACTACATGCGATCCCACTACCAAGAAGCTATTGACATCTACAAACGCATTCTTCTTGATAATCGGTGGGCCTCTCTACTCTAAATCTTAGTGCAATCTCTGGTATTTGGATTCCATTTACTGCTTGATTTTTGAAAATATGGATTTTTTCCAAATACTGTGTCCCTTTCCCACCATGAAACGCAGACAAGTTGCATCCCCTCAATTTTGTTCGTTGCAAATCATTATTGAAAAATACATATTAAGAAAGTCTCTATCCTTTGCTTTCTTGTAGTGATACTTTCTTGTAATCCATTCTGAGCTCCTTCTTTCCTTGTTACTTACTCCTGAAATTATATACCATTGTATATCTGTTTTTTCCTTTTTTTTCTTTTTCTCCCCTCCCCTGCTGGCCTGGTGAGCCTTGTTTGTGTATTGGCTTTCCTTCATCTCTTAGCCTTGCTAAGAAGGATTCAGTTTTAGTTTTTATGTAGAGAGTTGTATGTGTTCCTTTAAGTCTAAGATTCTTTCCGTTTCTATTTATTCTGCTGTAACAGTTCCTGAGGGGTTTTTAAAATCATATTCTGCAACTTTTTAGTTCAGAGTTTAACAAGGAAGAAAACTAACTCTTAAGTGGCCGGAAGTATCCATTGTAAGCGATAAAAGATGTCATGGTGTCCATTCCATCCCCTCTCCTTCCACTTCTACATCCTTGCACAATTTTACTTTTTAGCATGCTGCCTCTACCTCCTTACTGGCCTGTGAGCAGGAGTCAAAGAAGAGTTTGGCAAAATAGAAACTGCCACTTCAGAATACGTGGTTGTATTTGACAGTTTCTCTTCCTGAATGCTTCAGAGAAAGCTGAAGCTCCCTCATAATGTATATTAGTATGTCATTTAATGCTCAGGGAAGCATTAAATGCTTCCAAAGCGTTAAATGCCTCCAAACCCTATAGGAACAATCACTCAATGCTAAATTAGTAACCTGCATAACAGTTATCCTTTAACTTACTGTCACCACAAATGTCTGTCTTATTTCTGTGTCTAATTCTTCTGGCTTCATAGCTTGTAATGGCAAGTTTTTACAGTAACTATACCTGACATAAGAGTTAATAATAGCCATTAAAAATATTTGTGAAGTTTTATGTGCATGTTAAATGTAGTTTTGCGCACATTGCGTAGAAAAGCCTATTCTGTCAGGCTAAATACAGAGTTCTTCTGTGCATTTCCTTAGTGTGAAGTTGCCACCATTTTCTAGATTTGCAAACCACAGTTCTGCAGGTAATGCTTTAAAATTGCAGTAGCTGCTTTTGACAAGCTCTTACTTACACACATCTGTAACCGAATCTGTGCAATTTATCTAACAGAAACTAGAGCTATAAAGTTACCTAATAAGCATTTCCTCAGAACCCCCAATTTTGATGTACTTGTGAAAGATGCATAGACATGTGAGGGCTTTGTTACTGATTTTAAAATTTTGTGGTAAATCTGGTGGGATTTGAATGCTCCCTTTAACCCTCTTTCCTCTGTCTTGCAGGGAGTACCTGGCTCTGAATGTTTATGTGGCCCTATGCTATTACAAGCTGGATTACTATGATGTGTCACAAGAAGTGCTTGCTGTTTACCTTCATCAAGTTCCTGACAGCACCATTGCTCTTAACCTTAAGGCTTGTAACCATTTCCGACTTTACAATGGGAAGGCTGCTGAGGTATCTATTGGAAAGAGCTTTGGTTCTCCTTTGTTTTAGTTCACGATTCCATACAGGTTTTCTTGTTATCTTAAGCTCTGATGTTGATAATGGCTTTTTATCATGTCATTGTGTCCTCCTTTTAGGAATGTCACCTATTTCATAGTCTCCCTGGTACTAAGCGCTGAGGTGTGTGTGTCCCTGTCCATCCACATTCGCACGCATTGATCTTATTGTTTTCGTGGTGCACTTTTGACCTTGTATCCGCATGTATTATCCAACTGCAAAAAATCATATTGAAGTGGAAAGGCACAGTTCTTCCTGTGACCCAGCTTATCACTGCTGGAGATGTCTTTCTGTCAGCTTAAGGAGTAATATGAACCTGCACTTATCTTGTGTGCTTTTCTGTTTTCTTGCTAAGCTTTTTGAATGTATATAATTCCAGGCAGAGCTCAAGAGCTTGACGGATAGTGCCTCATCTTCTTTTGAGTTTGCCAAGGAGCTCATTAAGCACAACCTGGTGAGTAATGTATTTTTTCAAATTTAATATAGACTGCAGCCATTTGTAGAGCATTTTTTGATGACTCATGAAGTGAAATATTTTGGGAACTGGAGACCTCTGAATCTCTGCTGCCATGTGAGTCCCATTCCAGAAATCTGAAGTGTATAATCAATGTGCTATCAAGTGTATCTTTTTTTTTCCCCTGGCATTTTTCCCTGTCAATTTGAGACTGTTATGAAAATGATAGCGTTGGTTTTAGCCTCAAGGGCATACAAAGAAGAATTTAATGCCCTGTGACAATACCTTTGCAAGATACTTTGCACAGCCCAGTCCATGCCAAGACTGTAGAGCAAGTTAGAATGCATGACCATGAACTGTGGTGTTTAGTAAGACTAAGATGTCAGTGGAATTAAGATAACTCAAGAAAATGGTTTCTGTCCAAATATACTTGACAAGGAGTTTGTAGGG